TCCCCTTGATTTAATAATAATAATGAACAATTAGTTTGAATGAGATTGAACAGTTAATTTGAATTGCAAGTGGTCATACATTAACTAGTAACGTATCAGGCAATTAATTTCTTTTCCTTCTTTTTTTACAGAAACTACGTCATCACCACACCCCGCAAATGGACATCTGGAGAAACTGTTCAAGTGTGTTCCTTTATTTTAAACTCTACATCTACAGAGAACTCGATCACAGTTGCAGTTACAAGCGTAGACGGCAGTGAACATCTTATACCTAACAGAGTCATCCAGATTCCAGAAGGTAAATACCAATTGCTTAGTCTTCCTACATGTATATATACATATGCAGTATATGCGGACAGAACTTATATTAAATTGTTATAATGTTTGTCACTAGACTGTTTGTACTGTTTGTAAGAGACACATTCATTGTGAAGTAACATTAGTGTGGGAACGTTTCGCCCACCAGGGGCTGCGGCTTGGTGAAAAACATGCAGTCGTTGGAATAAGAGTGATTATTGAAGTATTCTTTATCCTAATAGGTTTCAGACTTTCGGTGTTGATATACTTTACTAAAAGATACTTGGTTAGTGGAGTTTAAACTTATCTACTGTGTGAGTGTCATTATGGCTGCACGTAACTGTTTCAATACCAGATAAGAATACTTTACTACCTAAAATAGGATTAAAGCAAGCAAATATACTCTGAGACATGTACACCTCTTAATGTATATATCTTGCGCTTTGAGATATGAACATTTTGAATCACCAATTTTACTAAATATATTAGTATCTATGTAATAAAATAGAATATGACTCTTTTGGTGGACTTCGAACACTAAGCGCTGATACATCTTAACACGAAGTATTTTTGTGATGAATTTGGGCTTTATTCTTACCCAGATGTCAGTTGAGTAGAACAAAATATATTAGGTTTTCTTTAAAACACAGAATCAAATATTTTTCTTATAAAATTTTAAATAGAATGGAAGAGGAAAAATTGAGAAATATTAAAAACTCGCGTTGTTGTGGCATTTTTAAATTCCCCGAGTTAAGTGAGCCCTTAAATACAATATTTTTGTATGAGGTAATTCCAGAGTCGGTCATGTTAGTCTCAGTTTTCTTGTCCACTTTCTCCAAGGCTTTCGTTTACAACTTCAGAATAATTTATCCTAGCGGCTTCAAATTTTAACTGTGATTAGACATAATTAGGGTGAGGTACATGAAACAATAGGCATGTGCAGGTATTCTCTGTTGAAAATAATACTATAGGCCAATAACAATTTTGATTCCCATACGACAACTTAGAACGCCTCTTCTAACAGGAGAATGCTTTGATGCTGGTGAAGGGCTCTTGACCCGAGGAACTGGACTTAGCCTTCCCTTACCGTATCAAAACTGAATGACTCACGAAATCGTAACAACACGATTGCAAACAAACCACGATACGGGTGGGGTTTGAACTCACGGCGAATGAGTCGTAAAATTTCAGGACAGCGCGTAAGCCACTGGCTCTGTATGAAACTATTTTTTCTAAAGTTTGAACTGGGTGAATTCTGTTCAATTACTGGAGAATACATCTTCTGGTGGGTTGCTGGTGATGTGTGTTCTTCAAAGATGGCTGGTGATGTGTGTTCTTCAAAGGTGCCTGGTGATGTGTGTTCTTCAAAGGTGCCTGGTGATGTGTGTTCTTCAGAAGTTGCTGGTGATGTGTGTTCTTCAAAGGTGGATGGTGATGTGTGTTCTTCAAAGGTGGCTGGTGATGTGTGTTCTTCAAAGGTGGATGGTGATGTGTGTTCTTCAAAGGTGGTTGGTGATATGTGTTCTTCAAAGATGGATGGTGATGTGTGTTCTTCAAAGGTGGCTGGTGATGTGTGTTCTTCAAAGGTGGCTGGTGATGTGTGTTCTTCAAAGGTGGATGGTAATGTGTGTTCTTCAGAAGTTGCTGGTGATGTGTGTTCTTCAAAGGTGGATGGTGATGGGTGTTCTTCAGAAGTTGCTGGTGATGTGTGTTGTTCAGAAGTTGCTGGTAATGTGTGTTCTTCAAAGGTGGATGGTGATGTGTGTTCTTCAGAAGTTGCTGGTGATGTGTGTTCTTCAAAGATGCCTGGTGATGTGTGTTCTTCAAAGGTGGCTGATGATGTGTGTTCTTCAAAGATGCCTGGTGATGTGTGTTCTTCAGAGGTTGCTGGTGATGTGTGTTCTTCAAAGGTGGATGGTGATGTGTGTTCTTCAAAGGTGGATGGTGATGTGTGTTCTTCAGAAGTTGCTGGTGATGTGTGTTCTTCAGAGGATGCTGGTGATGTGTGTTCTTCAGAGGTTGCTGGTGATGTGTGTTCTTCAGAGGTTGCTGGTGATGTGTGTTCTTCAAAGGTGGCTGGTGATGTGTGTTCTTCAAAGGTGGCTGGTGATGTGTGTTCTTCAGAGGTTGCTGGTGATGTGTGTTCTTCAAAGGTGGCTGCTGATGTGTGTTCTTCAAAGGTGGCTGGTGATGTGTGTTCTTCAAAGGTGGATGGTGATGTGTGTTCTTCAAAGGTGGCTGCTGATGTGTGTTCTTCAAAGGTGGCTGGTGATGTGTGTTCTTCAAAGGTGGCTGGTGATGTGTGTTCTTCAAAGGTGGCTGGTGATGTGTGTTCTTCAGAGGATGCTGGTGATGTGTGTTTTTCAAAGGTGGCTGGTGATGTGTGTCCTTCAGAGGTTGCTGGTGATGTGTGTTCTTCAAAGGTGGCTGGTGATGTGTGTTCTTCAGAGGTTGCTGGTGATGTGTGTTCTTCAAAGGTTGCTGGTGATGTGTGTTCTTCAGAAGTTGCTGGTGATGTGTGTTCTTCAGAGGTTGCTGGTGATGTGTGTTCTTCAGAGGTTGCTGGTGATGTGTGTTCTTCAGAGGTTGCTGGTGATGTGTGTTCTTCAAAGGTTGCTGGTGATGTGTGTTCTTCAAAGGTGGCTGGTGATATGTGTTCTTCAAAGGTGGCTGGTGATATGTATTGTTCAGAGGTTGCTGATGTGTGTTCTTCAAAGGTGGCTGGTGATGTGTGTTCTTCAAAGGTGGCTGATGTGTGTTCTTCAAAGGTGGCTGGTGATGTGTGTTCTTCAAAGGTGGCTTGTGATGTGTGTTCTTCAGAGGTTGCTGGTGATGTGTGTTCTTCAGAGATTGCTGGTGATGTGTGTTCTTCAAAGGTGGCTGGTGATGTGTGTTCTTCAGAGGTTGCTGGTGATGTGTGTTCTTCAGAGGTTGCTGGTGATGTGTGTTCTTCAGAGGTTGCTGGTGATGTGTTCTTCAGAGGTTGCTGGTGATGTGTGTTCTTCAGAGGTTGCTGGTGATTTGTGTTCTTCAGAGGTTGCTGGTGATGTGTGTTCGTCAAAGGTTGCTGGTGATGTGTGTTCTTCAAAGGTGGCTGGTGATGTGTGTTCTTCAAAGGTGACTGGTGATGTGTGTTCTTCAGAGGTTGCTGGTGATGTGTGTTCTTCAGAGGTTGCTGGTGATGTGTGTTCTTCAGAGGTTGCTGGTGATATGTGTTCTTCAGAGGTTTCTGGTGATGTGTGTTCTTCAGAGGTTGCTGGTGATGTGTGTTCTTCAGAGGTTGCTGGTGATGTGTGTTCTTCAGAGGTTGCTGGTGATGTGTGTTCTTCAAAGGTGCTGGTGATGTGTGGTTCTTCAGAGGTTGCTGGTGATGTATGTTCTTCAGAGGTTGCTGGTGATGTGTGTTTTCAAAGGTGGCTGGTGATGTGTGTTCTTCAGAGGTTGCTGGTGATGTGTGTTCTTCAGAGGTTGCTGGTGATGTGTGTTCTTCAGAGGTTGCTGGTGATGTGTGTTCTTCAGAGGTTGCTGGTGATGTGTGTTCTTCAGAGGTTGCTGGTGATGTGTGTTCTTCAAAGGTGCTGGTGATGTGTGCTCTTCAAAGGTGGTGGTGATGTGTGTTCTTCAAAGGTGCTGGTGATGTGTGTTCTTCAAGGTTGCTGGTGATGTGTGTTCTTCAGAGGTTGCTGGTGATGTGTGTTTCTTCAGAGGTTGCTGGTGATGTGTGTTCTTCAGAGGTTGCTGGTGATGTGTGTTCTTCAGAGGTTGCTGGTGATGTGTGTTCTTCAAAGGTGGCTGGTGATGTGTGTTCTTCAGAGGTTGCTGGTGATGTGTGTTCTTCAGAGGTTGCTGGTGATGTGTGTTCTTCAGAGGTTGCTGGTGATGTGTGTTCTTCAGAGGTTGCTGGTGATGTGTGTTCTTCAGAGGTTGCTGGTGATGTGTGTTCTTCAAAGGTGGCTGGTGATGTGTGTTCTTCAGAGGTTGCTGGTGATGTGTGTTCTTCAGAGGTGTGTGGTGATGTGTGTTCTTCAGAGGTTGCTGGTGATGTGTGTTCTTCAGAGGTTGCTGGTGATGTGTGTTCTTCAAAGGTGGCTGGTGATGTGTGTTCTTCAGAGGTTGCTGGTGATGTGTGTTCTTCAGAGGTTGCTGGTGATGTGTGTTCTTCAAATGTTGCTGGTGATGTGTGTTCTTCAGAGGTTGCTGGTGATGTGTGTTCATCAGAGGTTGCTGGTGATGTGTGTTCTTCAGAGGTTGCTGATGTGTGTTCTTCAAAGGTTGCTGGTGATGTGTGTTCTTCAAAGGTTGCTGGTGATGTGTGTTCTTCAAAGGTTGCTGGTGATGTGTGTTCTTCAGAGGTTGCTGGTGATGTGTGTTCTTCAGAGGTTGCTGGTGATGTGTGTTCTTCAGAGGTTGCTGGTGATGTGTATTCTTCAGAGGTTACTGGTGATGTGTGTTCTTCAGAGGTTGCTGGTAATGTGTGTTCTTCAGAGGTTGCTGGTGATGTGTGTTCTTTAGAGGTTGCTGGTGATGTGTGTTCTTCAAAGGTGGCTGGTGATGTGTGTTCTTCAGAGGTTGCTTGTGATGTGTGTTCTTCAAAGGTGGCTGGTGATGTGTGTTCTTCAAAGGTGGCTGGTGATATGTGTTCTTCAAAGGTGGCTGGTGATATGTGTTCTTCACAGGTTGCTGATGTGTGTTCTTCAAAGGTGGCTGGTGATGTGTGTTTTTCAAAGGTGGCTGGTGATGTGTGTTCTTCAAAGGTGGCTGGTGATGTGTGTTCTTCAGAGGTTGCTGGTGATGTGCGTTCTTCAGAGGTTGCTGGTGATGCGTGTTCTTCAAAGGTGGCTGGTGATGTGTGTTCTTCAGAGGTTGCTGGTGATGTGTGTTCTTCAGAGGTTGCTGGTGATGTGTGTTCTTCAGAGGTTGCTGGTGATGTGTGTTCTTCAGAGGTTGCTGGTGATGTGTGTTCTTCAAAGATGCCTGGTGATGTGTGTTCTTCAAAGGTGG